GATAAAAGAAGATGAACAGCATGGTGTCTGTGTGCCGAAATGAGAAAGTTGATAGATTGGCAAAAAATGCATCAAAAAAGAGCATATTTACATAGAAATTAAATTGTCAAAATCAGAAGGTAAGAATCTAGAGTGGAAAAGGGTAATGGAAATATGGCAATATCAATGGGATCAGGAAAGTAAAGGAAGACATCTATAGGCTACAGGATTCAAAATAAAGTAGGTATTGTAAGAGAGATGTCAAATAGAAGGAAAGAGCAAGTTATGATAACAAGACTTAGAATTGGACATAGTAAGTTAAATGGAACTCTTTGTATTTTAGGAAAACATCCCACAGGACTATGTGATGAATGTCAAGAGGAGGAAACAGTCAGTCACATTTTTATGTCATGCAGGAAATTTACCCAAGAAAGGCAAAAGAGTTGAAACATAATTTTTAAGAAATTGGTATAGGATAATATAATGTTAAAAATATATTAGAATATGGGAAGAGTGAACAAGGAAAAACATATTTATTTTATTTTCTAAAGAGGACTGGACTGGAAGGACGAATATGAGTATGAAATGACAAGATAAAAATCAGTAGATGGCAGTAATGCAACTTTTTGGATGCCAACTGTCGTAAAACACCAAGGAAGAAGAAGGTGTCTGCGGGCCACTATAGACCTTATGCACCAGAGAAACGTGGGCGCCGTCATCTTTAGAATATTGTCTTTGAACTTCCGGTTCTGTATATTTCTATGGCATTGCTGTTGAGGAGTAATTAGCTGGTGAAGTGGATTTACTTATTGTAGAGTTAACAAAAGCTATCATGAGCATTGTAATGTTTATCATAAGCATTGTAAAGCAGATGTCTTAACAAATGTCGAACGGGAATTTTTTTATGAGCAGTTCATTCAAACCTATGCAAGATCGCTGTGGAAATACATACCCGAAAGTCAAAAGACAACGAGCGCAACGCTGAAAATTGGGGGGGCTACATAAGGTCTATAGGGGATTATCACGCTGATACGTGGTACTTCCGGATTCAGTGATGTGCACTGCCACTTCTGTTGAATTACTAATCTCACTGGCGAACTGATGACAGACTACACTAAGTTTATTTATACGTCACCCCTGGTAAATTAGTCTGATTCACTAAAGTGCCGGCTGCAAATAAACGTGCTACCTTGTTTTATTTTAAAGTTTTAATCCACTTCTTCCTTATACTCAATTCAGTCGGGAATCCAAAGCTTAAAGGGTTGGCGTTGTTGATTAGATTTACAAAGTGGAACAGAGCAGTGACATATATAGCCTTCGCCTCAGCCATTGTTGAACTGCGTCAGAAGTGGACATGCACAAAATTGACAAATCCCGCCCATGAAACCCGTAAGCGTGATAATCCCCCATTTAGATTCCAGACTCGCCATCTATGGGATTTTCTGCTCAGTCAATGTAAGATTCTGTGTTTTCTTTATGTGTTTATAGTATGATGTTAATTTTTGTTTGCTTGTTTGTAGAAGGACTCTTTAGTCCTACTGATAATATCCAGGAGGATTGTTCAAAAGGACTGTTTAACTACTTACTTCTATTCTCCTCGTGATCTTCTGGGTCAGTGTACAAGGAGAAAAGTCTAGTTGCTCATATGGTCTATGATGGAATATACCGGACTGATTCCAGCCATTGCATTTCCAGACTTCCTTACACTTAAGTACAACTGAATGGACTTTGTCATTTTTGCCTATATCCAGATAAGAACTTTTGCACTGCTTTTGTAAAGTGTTTTTGATGTGTGACTTGTTCCTTCGTTGAAATCATTTAACTCTGGGCATGCTATGTGTGATTTCCTATCATGTATTGATGGTGGTATACCTCTTTCTTTTATGAATAATACTCACTTTTGCATCTATTTCTTGTCTTACTGAGTATTTAGACTAACACAGAACCTAGCCGGCAGTTCCCTCCCTAATATAAATCTTGTGCCAATTAGTCCGTGTGTGAATACTAGACAAATTGTTACGCATTGGCACCGAACAGGGGCCCGTAGGCATTTATAATCTCTTGTGTTCAGTGGATATTTCAGATGTTTTAGTATATGGCAAGTCAGGCTGCTCTGGGAAAGGATGAATATGATCCTGAACTGGATTTCTCATCTAAGACATGTATTACCAGAAGAGACCCATTGGGTACGTTACACACATTCAGCAACTTGTACATTGATGAAGAAGAAGATGAGGAAAGGGAAAATAGCTTAGATGATGTGCATGATGTAACTTTCACAGTGCAAACAGATGCTTGTTGTGAGGTTGGTTTAGGTACAGTGCTTACTCAGGAAACAGCAGGTGAAGAAAAGGTCATCTCCTATGCCTTATGTATATTATGAAGGCATACTGTTTCTGAAATGGGAATGTTTTACTGTAATGTGGACTGTAGAACAGTGGAGGCCATATTTGGAGGGTCAACCATTTACAGTTATCACGGACCAGTCAGTGCTGACATGGGTCTTTCAGCCCGTTCTCATCCTTTAACGTCATTTAGAACGCTATATGCAAAAACGGCGCTATACTACGCACATGGCACCCTTTATCGTTAATATAACACGCGAACCCAAGACGTTATAAATCCTTTAGCGTGAATATGACACGCACACCCTACCCCATACCTAAACTTAGCCCTCACAGCACGTGTTATATTAACGATAACGGGTGCCATGTGTGTAGTATAGCGCTGTTTTGTCATGTAGCGTTCTATATGACGTTAAAGGATGAGAATGCGTTGGGTCTTTCAGCACCCAAAGCCTTCATCATGCCTCACCCATTGAACATTGAGATTACAAGGCTTTCACTTCACAATAGTATTGTAAAGGTCAATGCAATGTGGTGCCTGACATATTGTCCAGAGTGCATAACCATACTCCTCAGAAAATTATTGCAGTAATGAAAGCCACCAATGTACTACCAAGCAACTTGTAAGTAGATCTAACTCAGATTGCCACGGATCAACAAAACGACCCAGAGTTACAAGAACTGATTCACAAGGCACAATGCAATGAATTTGCGGACCCTACACGCATCCACTATGTGATGAAGAACAGTTTTCTGTTTGGTATTCTACCAAAAGGACAAGGACAAAAACTCCAAATTATGTTCTTGTCCAGTCAACGTGAAGCTATGTTACACTATTCACATCATAGTCCCCTTAGTGGACATCTGGGGAGATTGAAAACTCTAAAATTACTTGATATTGCATATTGACATAATTTGAGAAGTGATCTATGGAAGTATGGCAAAGAATGTACTACCAGTCAAAAATACAAACCCGCAATAACAAAGCTGATTGGTCATCTTTAATCAACTCCTGTTGTCGAACCTGGGTAAATGTTAGGAGTGGACTGAATGGGACCTTTCCCTAAAAGCAGTAAACAAAATTAATACCTTCTTGTGGTTGTTGACGAAATGGGTAGAAATGTTTCCATTGTGCACAGCCAAGACACCACAAATAGCTCAAGATAAAACTTCTAGTTTATCACAAATCTAACCTGGAAAAGTTACCTCAGTTACCTGTTTCATTTCGAGGAGCATACGGATGCAGCTGATGTAAGTCATTTATTAATAATTATAAGTACTTTTTTCTAATCGCGTTATTGAATAGTGTCTGTAAACTGCACAAAGACTGTTCAAATATTTTTAATGCACGCAGAGACAGAAGCGTGCGCGTATATATCATGACTATATATGAATGTTATTTGAGTTCTTAAATAGTCTTGTGGTAGATCCTTTTCCAAGTGTGTCAGAGGTTGCAGGTTCTAATCCACGCTAGTATATTGTTTTGTTTTGTTTTTGTTTTTCTCATCAAAACTGAATATGTTCATCAGTGGTTACAGTCTATATCAAGCAGGGAAACGTTTGTGTGCATTTTATTTTGTGATTTCACCAGAGTGAATAGAGAGTCTCCACAACGGCGATAGATTGAAGAGCGCATCCGAGTGAAGACTGCGCTCGCGCCACAAGAGAACAACATATGCAACTGATAGCAGTGGCAATGAGCGTTCCGCTTGAGTTTAAAACCAAAAGCATTTAATGCTAGATATCTTATTTAATAGGGATCAAAATGAATGCTCTGCCAGTTAACTGGAGATGTTTTATATGTTTCAAAAAATGGTGGATACAAAATGACTTTGGTTTGCTCCCTAATATAAATCTTGTGGCAATTAGTCTGGGTGTGAATACTAGACGAATTGTTACAAGGTACTACACCCACTAAGAGTTCTTTTTTTATCCACCTGTGCTTTTTGTTGATCCATTCTCTCCTGACATTTATGTGTCAGTGGTTTTGTCTTTTATTCTTGAGTATTCCATTGAGTCCTGTGCGTCAGGATGCATTGTACCTGAATAATATAATAGTCTTTTTGTCACTTTTGCTTGAAGAAAGACATGAACTTATATAAATAACAAATTGCATGCTTTTATTTATTTATTTATTTATTTATTTATTTTTAGTGGTTGTGGTTTATGGAAAAATATTAAGTCAAATTTCAAAAGTTATTGCATTTGATCTAGTCTACTCTTGTCAATATTACCGACATGGAGCAATTTATTTTGATGTGATGATTTCATTTGAGGCAGATATGTTTCTGGGGATGTGGACAATTCATTTTCCTCTTGAGGAACAAACGTATTGCATGCTAATGCTATGGATTGTAGAACTGTCTCACCTCAATTGAAAATGAAATTGACAGGAATGAGACAGAAAAACATTGTTTGTTATGTCTCCAAATACAAATGCCCACTGACAAGGTGATACATTGTTAAACTTTTAATGAATGTCTGATTTGACAACTCTTGATGTTTAAAGTGGTCTTTTCCCCAATTAATCATACGCATCTTAAAAAGGCATCTTATAATAACAAAGGTTATGGCTTCTAAATATTGAAGCTTGTTTGTTGTTATGGCATCCCCAATGCCAGAGTATGACATTTTTAATGAATCATTTGTGTTTTTTTTTTTTTTTTTTTTTCATAGGTCTACACAAGATATGGGAAATGCTATACTTTCAATGGCAACAAAACAACCTCCAGGAAGACAAAACAAGGAGGAATGGGAAACGGGCTGGAGATTATGTTGGATATCCAGCAGGATGAATATCTGCCTATCTGGAAAGAGACAAGTGAGTTATTATGCCACACAGAGATGTTTTTTTTGGTCCGAAAGTTGCAAAGTCATCCCATATTTTTTGCTTCTCAGAAGTGTGCCTGCACAAGCTGTTAAGTTAGATTTTTGATATTTGTGATGTTGTTTTTTTCCCCCATTTGTATTGATAGGGGGATATGTGAGGCTTATCTTTGTGTTCCCATTCATATTGCCAGTTCTGCTCTCTTACCTCTGTGTTTTATTTTTATTTTAAATTTCTTTTGCAGATGAAACATCTTTAGAGGCAGGAATCCGTGTTCAGATCCACAGTCAAGATGAGCCACCCTACATCCATCAGCTAGGCTTTGGAGTCTCTCCGGGATTCCAGACCTTTGTATCCTGTCAAGAGCAAAGGGTATAACCCTTCTCTTGAATCATTCTCAAACTTTTCAGGCCAAGTACCACCTATGATGAAATTCAACCTTCTCAACTAGTGTTGGGCCCGAGTCCATCTTATCGAGTTAAAGTTGAGTTCAGGTCCTTAAACAATTGAGTTTGAGTTGGAGACATTTAGTAATGTCTTATCTTAATGTTAATTTCAATTACAAGTACCAATTTCATGCCAATTTCAAGTACAAGTACAAGTCCGCTCGAATGCGTCTAAATTTGAGTTCATTTATAATTGAAGAGTTCAGATGCAAAAGCCTTTAAATGCCATTTGAAATATTCTTCTTTAATGATGATTTTTATCAAACTTGTATATTTAAGTTCAGTGATTTCACTTAAATAACAATTAATAGGTAATTATCATTGCCATTTAAGTGAAATCACTGAACTTAAATATACAAGTTTGATAAAAAATCATCATTAAAGAAGAAAATTTCAAATGGCATTTAGAGGCTTTTGCATCTGAACTCTTCAATTGCAGTCCAAGTCCTAGTACCCCAACTTTAACTGTACCTTATGTATCTGATAAATTTATAGAGAACTATAGAGAAATTTTACTTGAAATGGAAGTAGTGACTGATTTTTTTCTCTCCATATTGTAATGTACATCCAAGTGACAGAGATTATAGAAAAATAAAATCGTACCGCTTAGTCAATCACTTCAGCTTGAGAACGCTGCTTTTATGCACTTAATTTGCATTTTTTCTGTTTGTCTCCCTCTCACTTTATCTTCCCTGCTCTTCTCATTTGCTCTCCCTCTCTGTGTGTAGTTGACCTACCTGCCCCAGCCTTGGGGGAACTGCCGCTCCACCAGTGAGCAGATGATCCCGGGTTACGATACCTACAGTATCAGCGCCTGCCGCCTGCGCTGCGAGACTCTTGAGGTTCTGCGTGAGTGCAACTGCAGGATGGTGCACATGCCGGGTAACGCTACACCGCCGCATTCATTTCCCACTCAACCTAATCAGCGTGCTAATGTATTCTGCTAATTGCTAAAATGCTAAATGAATAAACTCTTCTCATCTAATTTGCTCCAGGCAGTGGAGCCGAAAGCTTAATGCAAGTCTCTAAATTAACTTACTGTCTAGTCACACAATACGAGGAGCTCGAGTAGTTCATTCGGGCGATCGAAGGGAAGATCTGGAACGATTGCAATCTGACACCAATGACCCAGAGCTGCTGATTTGTGACGCTCCACTCAAAGCATTTGGCAAACTTCAAAAAAGCAAATACATTAATTTTCACTTTTGAAAACCAACAACGTATGGAGTGGAGGACATTCTCTCCCTCCAGAAACCTCTTTTCTAATTAACTCCACCACACCTGAGTTGTTATCAGTGTGGCTTCTCAGAGAGCGTGTGACTGTTGGAGGCCGGGCTCTAATGGAAGCTCTGCTTCTCTGATTTTCTCCTTTAATGTTTCCAAATCAATCTCCCATAATGCAAATTGAAAAGAGGGACCAAAAGAATTAACTCAAAGGCCATTTTCTCTTAGGTGACATGCATATTTCCTCAGACCAGTGGTGCTTTTGATTTGGACCTGATGATTTGGGCGAGTTGGACCTCCTGCGGTATTGTGTGTTGATGGGGATTGGGCTAGACCTTTAATGTGCCTTTAGGGAGGGTTTGGATCAGTTCATTTTGGGTGCAATTAGGCCTAGAATGATGGTCATGAGGGAGGCGTTGTGAAAGCAAACCCATCTCCCTCAGTAACACACTACCTTCCATCATTTTAGGATGAATAACAAAGCAGAGCCGCGCTGTCTCTTTCTCTGCCTCTCACACTTTTTCTTCCTTGGCTGGCGGTGAAATAACAGCAATCATTTTGCTTGTGATTGATCAGAGTCATTATGTATTTTGTTTCTCAGGAGATGCCGATATCTGTACTCCCAGCAATATCAAATGTGTGGACAAAGCACTTGGTAAGCAAGCATTTTTCATTTTTGCTAACGCCCTGGAGTGTAATATCTCTGGAGGTTGTGGGCACAAATAATTAAATCCTTGATAAACAGATGATTCTGTGCATGGTTTGAGGTGGGAGAAACAGGTCAGTCCAAGAAGGAGAGTGCTCTCCAGTGCTTTGACATTCTTTAGAGAGTATCTCTGTAGTGCATTACCCTCTGATACTCTCACGGTGTTATCGGTCGCTGTAGGTATTTTGTTCCACTGATTTTATGACACTCGTAAATGGAGCGGCTCATGAAAAGTTGATGATGAGAGATGTATCGGTACAATTATGATAGCCCTTATCTAATAAGCCAGAAATTTAATTATCTCCGCAGTCAAAAGGAAACTCGACCCCATTTAATGGGTAGTTGAACTAAATCCAGATATATCTCGAAAGAATAGACTGTACTTGCATTCACTAGCTATTCAAATATTCTGACTGAAATCTTGATTGTTTACTTTAATAATGATTTATTTTCTCACCCTATTACAGGAACATGTCTAAATGCCACAGCCTATTAAGACACAAAAAGCTTACTTAAAATGCCTGCTTACTCATAAAGCATTATTTAAATTTATTTTAAAATTTCAACGATTCATATTAAATAACTTTAGAATATTTATTACAATATTTATTCTAATAATAATAATAATAATAATAATAATGAGTAATAATATCAAATTCAGGTACTTATTTTTGACATGAATTATTGTTACAGTTTTCCAGTTGTATTTGAAGAGTTCAGATGCAAAAGCCTCTAAGTGCCATTTGAAATTTTGTTCTAGAATGACCATTTTTATCAAACTTGTGTATTTAAGTTCAGTAATTTCACTTAAATGACAATTAATAGGTAATCTTCATTGCCATTTAAGTGAAATTACTGAACTTAAATATACAAGCTTGATAAAAATGATAATTTTAGAAGAAAATTTCAAATGACACTTAGAGGCTTTTGCATCTGAACTCTTCATTTGTATTCAGTGTATCTTTTCATTTCTTTTTGAAAGAAATTAACCCTTTTATTTAGCAAGGACACATTAAATTACATAAATAAATCATAGGTGATAGTAAAGACAGTTATGTAACAAAAGTTTATATATCAAATATATCTTGCTCTTTTGAACTTTCTATTAATCAAATGACGAATATCATGAAGTATCCCAGTTTTAACAACAATAATTAAGCAGAACAGCGTTTTTTATGATACTAATGTTTCTTGAGCAGAAAATCAACATATAAAATTATTTCTAAAGGAACATGTGACTAAAGACTGGAGTAATGATGCAGAAATTTTAGCCATCACAGGAATAAATTACACATTAAAAATTACAATTGGAAAACACTGATAATTCATCACAATTACAGATCCCAAACATTTGAACAGTAGTTTATATACTGTGGATTAAATATTATGCTTACATACAGCTTAATTTATATACATAATTTTTATACAATATATACATTTATATTGCTCATTATATAGTTTCAGCTTCTAACTAGTTTGTGGTTTGAGTCTTTTTTCAAAAGGGTCGCTTGACTACTTGAACTACTTTAAAATATGAGAGGCTTGACAAATTGTGAAGTAGCTTCCTTACTGCAACATCTGCATATAATAATATAAATCAAATTGGCGGTGACGTGGCATGTAAACTAAATTTTGTTCTTAATAGAAGGCACTAATGCTAAATACATGGTGCATTCATTGTAGACAATTTATGATCATGACATTCATGATACTTTCTCTCAGGGAGGTCGAGTGTGTGTGCTCTCTTCTGGATGCCCTTCAGAAACCAAATTAAATCTGAACAACACGTTGAGTGTGTTTCAAGCATCTTATGGATGATTATTTAGCACTGGTGTTATCTCTCCACATTAGTTTGATGAATGAAGAATGGGTGTGCAGGTGTGGGCTAGAGCACCTGCTCGCTCGCTCGCTCTCTCTCTCTCTCTCTCTCTCTCTCTCTCATACACACACACACACACATATCTTTCTTCTGCTCTAAACTGATATGTGTGTCCTCTTTGCAGCACTGCTTCAGAAAAGTTCAGGTGACACATGCTCCTGTGAAACTCCCTGTAATCTGACCCGTTATGGTAAAGAGCTGTCCATGGTTAAAATCCCCAGCAAGGGCTCGGCTCGCTACCTATCTAGAAAATATGACAAGTCCGAAGAATACATCAGGTTTGGCAACCTTTCCACCTTCAATATAGTTTTTTCTGATTCTAAATATATAATGAATGTATATGATTTACCAACCCGATCTCACGACCAAGTCGTACGAATTCGACGAATGATTAAAAAGGGGCTAATTCGTACGAATTCATACGACCTCACTCATGCATTATGATTTTGCTAAATCGTACATATTTTACGAATTGGCCAATTCGTATGAATTCGTACGAATGATCTACCCCTTACCCCACCCCTAAACCTACCCATCACGTGGGTTTAGACAAATCGTATGAATTCGTACGAATGAGGTCGTACAAATTAGTACGAATTAGACACTTTTTAATCGTTCGTCGAATTCGTACGAAATGGTCGTGAGATAGGGTAGGATTTACACATAACTATTTTATTGTCCTTTTGTTTTAGAGACAACTTTCTTGTTTTGGACATCTTCTTCGAAGCTCTAAATTATGAAACAATAGAACAGAAAAAAGCGTATGACGTTGCAGGATTATTAGGTGGGTCTCTTATGCTTCATTTTATCACATTGTTTTCTATACATTGTAATTTTCAGTGTATTTGATTCTGAACTAAGCTTGACATCAATATAAAATGAAAACGACTATTTACTTTCTTAATGCACTTTCCTGGTCTTATTGTGAACAATTCCTTGGTTCACATTGTTCCTACGAAGAAAATGTTTGTCATCAAATAAAACAGTCCAGGCCTGGTCCTCTCTCGTCATTCAGATCGCCGCTCCTCCTTTTATGCCTACGCTCCTCCGTGAGAGATTCGAGACCAGTGTGTCATGCAGGTGTCGCTCATTATCAATCCCGTCCTGCTCACCACACTTACACATTCACATAAATTGTTTTTTGTTGTTTTTGTTGTTGCAAAAATCACTTCAGCCAAACCGGCTTATATCACTCAATTTTTTTTTTCCAGTTCCAGTATACCCACGGCAAATTTCTTTTTTCGTTCTTCACTTAGAGGTAAAACGTAGTTTTGAAAATATGTGACCAGACATACTGTTATTGAAAATCAACATAAAGACACTTTCCTCTCTCAATAACAAATAAACACATAACAAAATTGAAAAAAAAAAAAACAGCAAGCATATCATCGCAACATGGATATTTTTGCACAAGCTCTGCAATTCAGCACTTTAGCAGAGTCAAGTCACGTTTATTTACAGCACTTTATTCAATAGATGCTTAAATCAAGCGGCTTTACTGTATCAAACATGCAAAACAATGTCTCGTAATTTTCTACTATAAAGCAGTTCTCCATTCAGTGTGTTCATGATTTCATTGGAGGACATCTGACCTCCAGGGATTGGACAGGAAAAATGAAGTGGAAAAGATTGCCACGTGAAATAAATTGGAGCCTCAATTGTACAAAGGTGTTTACCAGCCCATTTTTGCAGAAACTTTTGACTTTTCCAGAAAATTGGCTTTGGCAAGCTGTTTCCAACTCTCAAAACTAACTCCAACGAAGTTAGTTTTGGCCTGATTTTGTTCTAAATGACATACCATCAGTTAGTTCTTAGATTTCGCTTTATATCTGAATACCAGGACCTTTAAAATTAGTTTTAGTAATTTTAGCACTTAACATTAACTTCATTTATTTCAGTTAATTGCCATACCAAGCTTACATATCTATTTTTCATTTTAGTTGTAAAAGTGTGAGATTATTTGATTTCAGCTTTATTTCAATGAACATATATTTTTTAAACACAGTTTCAGTCAGAAATAAAGCATATTTATAAAGTTAAATAGTCTTCAGTTCACATGAAAAAAAAAATAGTATTTTTTACTTTTTGTTTTCAGGGGACATTGGCGGGCAGATGGGTCTTTTTATAGGAGCCAGCGTTCTTACCATTTTGGAGATTCTGGATTATGTATATGAGGTAAGCTTACATTGTCTTGGCCCTCTGCATATTCCACAATCATTCATTTTTAACCAATAGCTCTTCTCCTGCACTGTTTTTTTTTCCCCCATTGTGACCAGTATTTCCCATAAGAGCAGATAAGACAGGACCTCTGAGCTGAGCAGCAGGAATGCTGATGCTGCAAAACTGTTTATAGCCCTCATTTGTCCTACTTTCCCTGCTGCCCTCTTCACCCTCACTCCCCCTCGCTTTCCTAGGTGATCAAACACAGGTTGGAGCGTTTGCTGAGGCCACAGAGAGATGACAAAAAGCAAACCCAGCAGCAGCAACAGGCCAGCACAGTCGCCACAGTAAACCTAGAGGAAATGAAAGCTAAGGTAAGCCACATGCTCTAAAGCGCTAGTGTTAGGATGCAGCACAGATCAAATCTGTGAACAGGAACAAAGCCCGGAGGGGAATACGACATCAGCGGCAGGATATTGAGCAATGAATGGGATGCCAGGCTGTCTGCTTAGACCAGGATTGAATCAAATCTCCCTTGTTCTTTTTTCCAATCCGATCTTCTGTTCATGGAAGAGGAACACAGATGTTGCAGAGCACATTAAAACTAATTCAGAACTAGCTCAAAATTCAATTCGGCATGACCACTGCAATTGTGATCTAAGATTGTTCGATTAGTATAAAACCGAATGCTTATGCTTATGCTGGTATGCTTACCTGTATTCTTCAATTCTATATTAATGCGTCAAGTATCAGGGTTGTCAACTTTAGATGATTGCTGGAGTGAGATTTTGATGGCATTGATGTCATAAATCAGCCCATTCTCACCCCCAAGGCATCACTTAACTGGCGCCTTGGGAAGAATTTGGACATGCTTCAATATCTGACGCTTTAGGCGCCCTTTAGCGTCAATTAGATGACGCCCTAGGATCGCGTGTACCCTACCCCCACCCCACACCTAAACCTAACCGCGTCCTCTAACTCAGTGGTTCTCAAACTTTTTCAGGAGGAGGCCCCCTTGTGTAGGGTGAATCCTTTTGTGGCCCCCCAAAAGAAAACTCATAACGAAAACATCCTCAAACGTACAATTTTACTCACAAATTTTAGATTGTACCAAAAACAAATGAATTTGTACAATGCTGGAACAACAGTTCTGTTTGTAGCTTTATGTCTTTGAATATACAAAAATAGTTAAATTGTACATTTCATTAAATATAACAATTTTTTTTATAAAAAATGGTTTTGACAGTTAACAATAATATTGTCTGAAAAGTGCAACAAAAGTATTGAATACTGAACATTTGTGATGTTCATAGTAAAAGATGAACACTGAAAAATTAATTTGCTGATTGTAAAAAAGTGCATTAAACTTCTAACATTTTAAGGTAGTAAATGACAGTGGCTCAAGTTTGGTTTGCAATTTTGAGCAGCAATCTTTTTTTCTGCAAGAAACAAAAAAAATTCTACTCTACTGAAAGAAATAGTTTTTCAATATAGAAATTTTATACAAGTTTTACAATATAAAAGAAATCATGCAATGCAGATTTCACATAGGACAATCCAAACTTACATACAGGTAAAATAATTTTTTTAAATAATTTCATATTCTAGAATTTCTTTGCGGCCCCCCTAGCGCCATCTAGTGACCCCCAGGGGGCCACGGCCCCCAGTTTGAGAACCGCTGCTCTAACTGACGCTTTCCTTTAGCGTCAGTTAGATGACGCCATAGGATCGCGTCATGTAAGTATATAAATATAAATATAAATATATACTGTATAAAAATATATTTATTTTAGTTTATGCTCCAGATTGTGTCAGTAGGGTGTAGTATATAGCATACATGTTGTTGTAGCATATATTAACACGGTGGTATGCAATATAAACTATATATAAATATATTTATATTTTAAAAAAATCACAAATCATTCAAACTGCAGCATCACACACATTCAGTCCTCTGTCTGAACACAGTAACATATTACTCTAATTTATATCCTAAACTCTTAATCAAGATACTTTATTGTGCTCATTTTTTTTAATGAGCTCCATCTGTTAGACACGCGTCTTTGAAGTTTAAAGGTTACTCTATTGCTGTTATGACAAACTATTCAGCGACATATAAATACGTGCATAAGAGTAATGCAAATTATGCTTTATCATACAATGATTCATTTTCTGTTCTGCCAGTGATATTAATGACAGAGATTCTTCCTGCCACAGCACACATATTCAACTACAGTAATAGACGATGAAATTATCAGCCATCAGAGTGGCCGGCCTGTGAACTTTATCTGCATTTGGAGCCTGACAGGTGTTAATTTCTTGCCTGTGTTTGGAGACGCAAACACATCTCACCTACTGACTGAAAAAAACAAAAATGTCCATAAGGTTAAATGCTTTTAATGTTATATTTCAAATGAATGTTACCCCTTTGACCTTTACAGCCTGGTCTCACTGTTAATATGTAGGTATTTTACGTTTTTGCAAAGATAGAAAGCGTACTTTTTAGTAGGTTTGGATAGATGCTGAAACGTATAATATAGACGTATCTGCAACATTTAAACGTAACATTATTACGTTTTTACAGCTACAAAACGTAAACTATTTACGTATATTCTATATCATAAAGATATCTGGATAACTACCCATAACAATTCCTTAAAACTACGTAAAAAACTACAATTATGAAGAAAAACATAACTAACAGACAAGTATAATCACAATAATTTATGTATTGCAACAATGTCAAAACCGATACCAAAAGCCATTCACATGATGAAGCGTGATGAAGTGTCTTCTCTCTGGCAGTATTGTAATAGTTTTGTATGAAGTACAGAGCAGAAATTAAATCACTAATGAAAATGTTAATCCGGCTTCGGTTGGTTCGCGCTTCTCCATTTCAAATCATGAACTAAACTAACCAACCGTCACAGTCCTTCATGTCGCAAACTGTGACGAAGCAGGGAAGAGCCAATGAACGTTTGATATCGCTGCCGTAAAAGATGACGTATCGCTTCTCAAGGGCGCAATATTTGAATTTGAATTCATCATCACCAGCGCGGGGTTTGACATGTACGGTCGCTGCTGAGAATGGAGAGATCACGACTGGATAAGAGGCTGAATTAGAAGTTGTTTCTTGCAAACAACTATGGATTCAAAAGATTTGGATTACATCAAACTAATAAAATTGATGTCTTTTGTGAATTTTTGTTGTGTTTTATAGGAGAAAACGCTTTATGTGTCTCAAGGTAAATAAACTATTACAAAATGGTTAAACAAGTAACGTTAAATAATGTATTTTTAAGGTTTTATAGTGTATTGTTTAACACCATGCAGGCGAAACGAGCAAAATGTTAATATTTATGAGTATTATATCAATAATGCGACTGAAAACTTCATTTATAAGACAGTGGTATGCAATAGAGTCAAAACATAATGCTACGATATGGATAAATTGTGATACGTACAATGTGTACGTACGTCGGTGGATTTGTTCATGCGTAAATAAATTACGTTTTTGTGCTGTCAATACGTAAATATTTTACGAAATAGTACTGTAAATACGTCAGTATTATACGTTTCTGCGAATATAAAACGTAATTATACGTATGATAGAACGACACTTTACGTACACGTATACTCTCATGAGATCACGTTGACCTTTAGGATCCTGAAAAAAAAAATAATCATGCTTTCCACAAGAAATATTCTGTTATCCAGAATATTCTGTTTTCTTTTGTGACAAAATTCTGGAACGAAAGTTGAGTAGATAGGGGGAGACTTCAGTCTAATAAGAAGCAGCTGAATTACTTGCAGAACTTTTAATTCATAAACAGTCTATAAAGGCCTATTTTTTTTGGATGTGTGTGTGATCTAATTAAAAACTTTGCTGTTTTTTAATCACTGTACTTTTGCCACCATTTTATAGATGCAATAAGCCACTCAAGGCCATAACTGTGAGTTAGTTTGTTCAAAGGGGTTTAACTATGATAAAGCGCTGTAAAGTCTCAACCTCGAGTGGCTTTTTCTTTATCACACCACAGATTAAACAATGAGTCACAGTGTGAGTCATTCAATGCACTTTATTCACAATGAAATAGTGTGTAAGATGTAGGAGTTAAAGTATTCTCACAGAATCCCATCTGACATTCTCTGTTCCTGTCAGGATTCTGATGAGATGAGCCGGAGCCACTCGGAGGGAGCTTATGCTAACACCATCCTCCCAAATCACCATCACCACCACCGTACCCACCACCGAGTGTTCGAAGACTTTGCCTGCTAGGCCGACAGGTCTAGTGCTGTTGACGTCTGCAGAAAGAGTTCTCTCAGTGCTGAAGGTGGGCTCAGTGAAAGACCCTTAGAACTCAGCACTAACCTCTCTCGCTGTCACCAGTTAAAGCTACAGCCAAAGTCGAACTCTAAACCCTCGCTTCGAACCCAACACAGGCACGGATCGGACATTACGGTCCAGCAGGAGACTCTCTGAAATCCTGTCCTTTTCCCCCATCCTCTCGCAGGAAATGACATCAGTGGAAACTCTACGATTTCTACACTGAAAACCTTGGTATTGGGCCTCTACTATATCAAGGCATAGACTGCATGACATCTAGAGCCACTTTATACTACGTATCCTGTTTGAAGCATTACATTCTTACTTTATATTTTGTCAGCTGTTAGTTTTATTTGGTGAATTCTTATCTTGTGAAATATTATCATTCAGATTAATCTACAAATGTAAATTATGTATTTGATCATGGCTATCAACCCTTAGGACCCAGAGGGTAGAGAAATATCTTAATTCGGGTTTTTCACAGAAATCATGGGGGATGGTGTAGAATAGTTTGTGTTTCAGAAAAGTAATTTGTATCCATCTCTATTGGATATGTTTGGTAAATGTTTCCTTTATCTCAAATGGTTTAACTTAAAGTATATTAAATAATCCACATATTTTGTAATGTTATTTATAGAGATGTAATGTGTGAGTGGTAATGGGTGTCATTAGCAGTAATAACATAATCTTCTTGTGAGGTTACTTCCTATTGGAGAACCAAACGATGCGAACAGTAAGCCCGCCAGACTACCAGAACCAGAGGAAGCCTCTACGGGAACCATATGGAAAGGTTTGTTTCATCCATCCATCAGCTGATGGAATTCATCCCCCAGACCTCCCAAAAGTATTAATAAACAGACCTTATGTTCCTAGTTTCACTTTTGAATGAGAAGGAGTGCAACAGTCCCATAGAGAATGATAAACCGGGTTTGCTCAGCATACTTGCAAACTATGAGTAATCTGATGCACCGCAGCAGCGTATGGCTAGATGTTTAAAAGTCGGTCGATGAGTTTTTCTCAGGGTTCTTAGCTGTGAAATGTTCTCGGGTCTCTTTGACTAAAGGCCAGATGTGCAAAGCATTTCAATCAGAAACCACCGACTTTTCTGTGTGTGAAATTCAGCAAGCAAATTCATAGACTAAAAACGTATATATTTGTGGTTACAGATATGGCTCTAATAACTGTAGCACCTCTGATATATATTTTTTTCTCTTATAATCTGACATTTCAGGAACGTTTCTTCTCTGATTATTATTGGGTTAATTATTTCTAACTTAATGTGTGTAAGACTTGTGCTATTAAAATAAGCAGAATTATATATAATTTTCTCCTGCACATTTGTTAAGTATTTTTATTTTATTTTCCCACATTCAGAAATAGGGCACCACATATGTTGTATATGTGACAGAGCTGTATATCCTCCATAGATCAATTTCTCTGTTGGGTAGATCCCATCAGCGAGAGAGAGATTCTGTACTATTATTTTCATGTTTTGCAGAATGCATTTTATAGTTGGA